AAGTTGTAAATGTATTTTTAGTTTTAAATCCCAAGTTGTTTAGCTCTGGTTTTATTTTTTCAAAAGGATTTTGCATTTTTCAACAGATTTGTACTCTGGCTCTAATTGTGGACCATACATACTGTACTATATCAAAGACAAAGTAATTATAAAGGAATCTCGAAAAGGGTGTTTGTCAGATGTGTTTATTCCATTTTTTAAAGGAAAACTTGTCAGACAGAAATTGTTCATGTAGCTTCTTTGTTATTCATGCCGAAAGCTCTTTTTTCTCTAATGACTTGTTTTATCAGCTTTTATCCTTTGGCATTGATAAAATGTGACATGTAGTGTCACTACGACATTGATAACCTGCTTTGCAACACCTCCTTCCTTGACGTCGTGCTAATAATTGTATGTCAATAGTTTGCTTTATCTTTAGATCTTCCCTTCTTTTCATTAACATTAATTTGTTTGCTCCTTGGCTGTTTTCGGTGTTCCTGTAGTTCAGCCCTTAGCTCCTTTTTTCGATGAACTGTGAAAATATAGATTGATTTCACTGCCTCTGTGCTAGAGCAATGTAATAACAACTGTGTCTGAAATGAATGGAAATTTACATCACATATAGAAACAATGACCCCAAATATGTTGAATTTTAACCAACCAAGCAATCTGTACTGTTCAACATTACTGACAAGGCGCTCTATCATGAATTTTTAAATTTTTAGATACATGGTAAAGAAGTTTCTATTCATGCCAACTTTTTGCGCAAAGTCTGTGTCATTATTTTCACTCAAGTGATAGCCTTCCTTGAATTTGAAGGGGATCTTGCTCTGCTTTGAGTGTAGCAAACTCTTCAGTATGCAAGTGATGCATTTGAGCAAATTGCTTTGTCATTTAGGAGATAGATTAAGTAACTGATGATTGTCAAGTGGACCCATCCTGCTAATTTTCCTAAAGTCTGAAAGCAGCATGCTGATGTTAGAAGAGGCTTTTGTTACTAAAGGTTTAGTTTTTATCACTGGTTACTTTCAGCAGTTGTTGAGGAGTCTCATTTTTTAGAGGAAAAAAAAAAGAATGAGTTGATTGTAAGGCATGTAAGATTCAAAGGTTGGAACACTATTGTGTAAAGTTCTTTTGCTGATTCTGCTTTTTGACCTGTCTGTTTTTATTAGGTTTGACCTATGTCTTTCTGTTCTTAAACCTTTGCAAGGGTTGATCTACGGGTCCTTCATAATAATTAGGAGTCAGCGTGCACTATAAATAGTTTTAAAGTTCTGAAGTCCGACTTTAATGTGTTCTCTCATCATTAAATCAAAAGGGTTTTGTTTTTAAAATTTTCAAGAAACCAGTCATATAGTAAGAGTATAACGCCATAAATGTAAGTACTCGGATCCAGCAAATGCCTATTCTTTGCTACTGGTTTCACCTCGGCGTCATGTACAGAAAACATATTCAGCAGCTTCATAGGGTAATCTAAGATCATTTCAAGGTCAAGTGCACATATTACGTCAACATGCTGAACTGCACATGGCTGGCTCGATAACGGCTCTTGATATCACACTAAATCAAGACTTGTTTATATGTGAGGCATTGTGGTGAAATCAGGCGCTCTTCAAATTAGTTAAATCAAAGAAATCAGCCTTTTGCTGACCGTTTGGCAACCTTTTATGTCTATTTGAAAACACATTTCAGGATTTCTGTATTGATTTTTCTGAAAAACGTTAAGGGACAAAAAATGTAAGTTTTCAGTTTATAGAGACTCTCAAGCTCTGGAAGTCACCGAGTCACCAAACTTTGTCAGTCATTTTCTTAATTTTACTGCTGAAACCATGTGACCCCCCACCATTTCCGATCGCAAGTATCTTGAATTCTATTCAAGATAGCTGGGTATTATTTTCATTGAAAGGTAGACAAATGCACAAGCTTTAAGATGATACCAGTAACTCCATATGGCCAAAAAATGACGATGGTCTGATTCCACCACGCCGTGACACGCAGGTTGATAGCTGCTCCCATTTCTCATGCATAATGTTAGTTCTTCTTTCACATCCTATCTTTATGTGCGTGGTTGTTTGTTGTTTTGTTTTGTTTTTTGGGGGAGGAAGGGGTTTGTTTTTTGTTTTGTTTTTTTGTTTTTTTTTGGGGGGGGGGTTGTGTTGTGTGTGTGTGAGTATTTTAATATAACTTTTGCTTGACTTCCACAGTTCAGTACTTTTTTCCCATAGTCAAGGACTTGGTCTCCCTGGGCTACGTTCGGGGCAAGTCTGTCAGAGGAGCTCCTTTTGATTTTCGTAAAGCGCCAAGTAAGTTCAACAGAAATACAGCCGAACCTGTTGATAGCGGTCACTCAAGATCACAGAGAGAGAGACAATTATAGCTGCTGTGGACAAGGTCTGGGTTATGGTCACTTACCCACACTTATGAAGATGAATTCTGATATGGCACATGTACTCGAATAACTAACAACAACACAGGCTAAAGGGAAACCGTCCCTGAGTTCCCAACATTGTACGTTTTGTTGGTTTGCAGGCCTAGAAAGGTATAAGAACTAAGAACATTTTTTCTTTTTAAATACTGCCAAAAGATTCAAATGCCCACAGCATGGCGGCCGTTCGCAAAACAAAACCACCCAAGAGAAAACAGACAAACAAACAAAACGCTAACCCAGGCAGCTGATGGCCAGTGTAAAACAGAGGCCACACTGCTTGTCTTATGACTGCATTGCATTTACAAAGGTCAGCAGCTGCGTGCTCAGTTCACAGAACACTCGCCCATCGTTGGCATCAAGTCCTGCACTCTCTTTTTTGATAGGGAGTGTCGTTCTAGGTTATAAGCCCAGTTGCTTCTTTTCACTGATAGAACTTACACAGTCTTAGAAGAGGTTGGAGGAAAATTTTTGTAGCAAGTGACCATGATGAGCAGGTTTTCAGGCTGACTTGTCACAGAAAATGATTTACTGTGGCCGCATTATACAGAGACAGCTATGGACAGATTGAAAATGTAGGAAAAATGCAAGGATACCACAGAACAGTGGCCAACAGTACAGGTGACTGCTGAGGCAGGTTTGACTGTACTCATATCTGATGTGTTCATATGATCGTGTTACATTAGACCTAGCTTTCAACAGACTTTGATGACCTATCATGAAGAAATATGCTGTCTTTGGAAACACCTAAAGTATGCTGGTTTATGTGTGTGTGAGAGAGATAAATAATTGATGCTTCTTTTTGTGTTGTTGTTTTTGCGGGGGGAGCACAGACTTTCATGGGGTCCATGCAAGTAAGTATATATATAAATATTATATGCCAGTAGGATCATGGGTATGTGTGAACATGTTTATTGAGAATTATGAGTGCATGGTTAGAAGTGTCAACTACCGTAGGTTGTCTTTTTTTTTTTAAAGGATCTATTTAAAGGCCAGTAACTCGGTCATCTTTAGACCAGTTTCAACAAAGCTTGAAATGAATTAAACTCAACCAAAGGGACAACATGAAATTTATCAATATATGAAGAAAAATAATTAACATGTTCAAGTTATCAAGTGTTTAAAATTTCAACCAAATTCGTTTAAAACGCAAAACTTTACGACTTCTTAAAAATATTCAGCCACAGGGGTGTGATTGGCCCGTTCTGGTTGTAAGGCAAAGACAGTTACGCCATGACTGTCACATTAGATGGACATCTCTCCATGGTGAGAAAGTCTTGAGACATTTGCGGAGGAGAACGGGTTATGTGCTAAGGAAGCCAGGTTCCCCATCAAGAGTGGCCCTTGCATTGCCAGAAAGGTTTGGGGAACACCTTATGAGCAGAAAGCTGACGAATGAATGGTCACCACTTTCCCCCCCTTCCCCCAACTTGAACCCCTTCATTTATTTTATTTGGGTTTGTTGGGGTTTTTTTAAACAGAAAAGAGCCTACGGATTCAACCCACAGAAAATCAAAAGTTGAAGCCAAGGCTGAACGTGAGATCCAAAGAACCGACCAAAAAAAATGCATGCGGCATTGTTATTCAAAATTTCTAGCAACGTATTCAAACTTGAAAGGAGAAAAATGGTCAACAGTTTATTATGCTTAAATAGTCTTCATTTTCCCTGAGTTTATTTTGAATTTGTTCTTCAATGCACAAGTATACATTGTAGTTGATTTTTAAGAAATGGCAAAGTTTTGCATTTTTATCAGTTTTGGTAGCAGTTTTTTAAAACTTTATACTTCTTGAACAAGTGAACTGATTTTTATTCATTCTGACAAATTTAACATCCCTTTTGTTGGCTTTTAATTGTGCCAAATTTTGTTAAAATTGGCTCAAAGTTGACTTGAGTTATTACCATTTAAATGAGTCCTCTTGTATTTTTTTTAGACTCCTGTGTTTCTGTTGTAAAGTATGAAATTGCATGAACAACAACATCTGTGGGTTGTTTTCAAAGATTCAGTACAGTCTCTCTCTCCATTCTGCTGGTGAATGGATGGAGCAACTTTGGGCAGGATGATGTTTTCTCAGAAAGAGTATGGAGGGGGGGGGTTTTTGGTTTTTGTTTTGGGGTTTTTTTCACTCTACCAATAGTAGTTCATTGTAGAACATTCCAATAAGTTTATTCCTTCCTTATCATGTACTGTATTCCATTATGATTTCAGATGAGCTTGGTGAATTCTATGAGAACTATAAGAAGCTGATTGAAGAGACATACAGAATCAACAACAACTCCAAAGTTGCCCTTGTCGCTCACAGTATGGGCAACCCAGTCACTCTATATTTCCTCAACAAGCAGCCCCAGGAGTGGAAAGATCAGTACATTCAGTCGTTCATCACCATTGCTGGAGTGTGGGGGGGAGCTGTCAAGACCCTAAGACTGATGTCTTCAGGTAATTTTTTTAATGAACTCTATCAGTGTCATGATCTGATATCATATCCAGTCTTTACAAATATGACCTTATGCTGAGACATTGCGGCACCTAAAGAGTTACACATAAATTAGCCGTTCAGTGCCTTAGTTGTGAGAAGACCTAGTTTCTGTAAGGACAACTCATTATTTAGTTGCACTAGCCGGGAGTTTGGATGCTGATTGGAGTGTTCCTCTTACGTAATAAATGCTCAGGTGCGTTTATCATTCTCTGCTGGGGTAGGGTGTTCCAATTTCGTTGCAACACATCCACTGTGAAGCTTTCTCAACTCGTAATAAATATCAACCAATCGAATAGCTAAAAAACAAACAGGTTAAATAAACCCATCTAAAATACTGTCCCTTGAAATAGTTCAACACATTTGAGAAAAAACTTTCATATTTCTGAACAGTGGTGGCTTATTGCAAAACATGTCAATAAAGACAACCAAGTAAATTTGAATTGAATGCTTGTTTCAGTATATTTAATTTGATATGTTTTAATTTAATTTGTTTGTTAGACTTTAAGTTTAGAATGCTTTGTTACGGCATGGGCATGTTTCAATTTCTTCTCCCTCTTGTTCCCGTTTTGTCATTGACCATGTGTTTATTATCTTAGCATAATCTCGAGACATTTAAGATATTTTGGAAGGGGAGCAGTTTCGATGGAGTAAGGGAATTTGGCGGGAGGGGGGGGCATCACCAGTGGTGGATACAGTTTTGGTAGTGGGCTGGATTAACTTAGCCTTTATGGCTTTCCACAGCCCTTAGAGACTCTTTTTTTTCATAGCTGTACCTTGTGTAACAAAAGCATGCATTCGTTTTATATATTTTGTTCTTTTAGATTTTTTAACTTATATTCTTTCTCTGTGTGTGTGACAGGATATTGCCCTTAGCAATATTTTCAGGTGTTTTAATTAGATGCTGCTCTTAACCCGTAGACGTGGTATTCAAAACATTTCCGTACCCACAGGTGATGACCTAGGTGTAGTGATCGTCAACCCTCTGAAGGTGCGGCCTGAGCAGCGAGCAATGCCTAGTACAGCTTTTCTCATGCCCACCGACCAATTCTGGCAACCTTCGGAGGTCCTGGTTCAAACTGAGAAAAGGAACTACACAGTGATGGACTACAAGGACTTCTTTAATGACATGAATTACACAGATGGCTACAACCTGCGGCTGGACACAGAGAAGTTGATCCATGAGGTGACACCTCCAGGTGTTCCCGTCCACTGCCTGCACGGCCTGGGAGTGCACACCCCTGCAGCGCTTGTCTTCCCTCCCGGTGGGTTCCCTGACACCTATCCAAAGACAGTAGTAGGAGATGGTGATGGCACCGTGAACAAGCGCAGCTTGCTGGGCTGTCTGAGGTGGTCAGGGAAGCAGAAGTACCCCGTGAAGCATAAAGTCTTTAAAGGAGCAGAGCACATGAGCATTCTTTCTCTTCCTGAGATCAGTAAATATATTGTCAGTGTAATCACTGGGAAAAGATGATGACATTCCAACCTTTACCCTTTTTTTTTCTCCAATATACTCTGCATTGATGTGATTACATTTTAAATTCATTTCTCGGACAATATTTAGTTTTTACTGGCTATAGTTTGAAATAGGTTGTCATAAATATGTTAGGGAGGAATTCACGGAAAAAATGGGCACAGCTTTATTTCTTTTCTCATTTTTCAGATAAGCTTTAAGACTTTAAGGTTTAGGCACACTCAAGTAATTTTCCCTATTCTTATATTAAGTTTCTGCCTATTTCTTTGTAAAGTAAAAATGAAAGGACAATTCTTATGTTGGAAAATAACTGTCTTAACTTTTTCCTGAATAATGATGTCACAGACAACCTTAACAAATGACCTTTCTTGTTTTGGGGACTTTGGGTTTTTTCCCCTTGGGGGGGGGGGGGGGGCTAATGCTGTTTATTAATGGTTTGATTGTTTGACTTATTATGTTTGCACATGGCAATCTTAATGCTATGAGTTATTTTTATTCTTTTCTCAGGTTTTTTCCCAGAATACTGATAAAGATATTAATTACTATTCTTGAGTCTTTTTCCTCTTTGGGGCTTTGGGTCCAGTGTAATTTACTAGGAATCAGGGTAGTTGACTACAGTTATGTTTGTCCTGCCACACCCTTGACATTGTGACATCCGACTTTAAAGATCTCTTTGTTTTAAAACATCATTATACTTTTAGTGCATATAAATGAAAGTTCAGTTGTTCAGTTTTGTTATTTTGGTGTTCTTGGGTACAAAATTCTCATATGTTTCCCCCTTGTGACTATTATTTTACCTAAGACATAATGTTATACCGCTTTGTACCTCTATCTAGTCAGGTCTCATTGATCAAAGCTTTGTATTTTATTTGCTGATGACTATAGGTCTGTGCTCAAGGGATGAAGCTCAGGTTTTGTATAAGATATACCACTCTTGTTTCCATTATTAACTCTGTCAAGACACCAGCACATTCTGGACAAGCAAATTTTGTAGAAACTTTCGGAAATTGTAATGTTACTTTTTCTGTGTTCTACAGTTGACTCTTTTTGTGTGTGTGTGTGTCTGAGGTCAGCACCAGCAGTTATGTATGGCACAGTTAGTGTTTGAGCTTTAAAAAAAAGTCTAGACAAAAGGCTTGGCAAATCTTTTCTTTTTTTCTACCGGTGTCAGTATCCACTCTTTGAGTTTTTCTAGAAACACCTCTCATTTCATCTTATTTGCATCTCTTGATCTTCATACTGATGGATAATGAAATGTCTTCTTCTTTGTGTGAACCATCTGGCAGAGTATAGTTAATCTTCTTTTAAGCTTGATCCAAAGGTGTGAGTGCAGCGATTTTCACTTTTATTTTTTAAAAGTGTGACGGGATAGAAGAATGGCCTTTTGGTTGTGAAAAATATGTAGCAATGAAACTGCATATGGCCAAAATTTACATGCAGAAGTGGACAGTCCTGAGTTTTGCTGAGCAAACTCCTTTTTTTGTGCGAAAAGACTAAGTGGATATAAATGTCTCTTGTGTCCTTTCGGCGGCTTTACTCCATGGGTTTCTGAAGTCCCATGCGTTTCAATTAACTCTTTGCAATTATATGTAGTTTATAGTTATAATATATTTCTATGTTGAAAATCTTTTCATGTGACATTGATTACGTCGAGGTATTATTTTTGTAACATTTTGTATTACCCATATTTTTGCTCTCCTCCTTATCAGCCTTTCTATTCTTTTGTACTCTCAGTCTCAAAGGCGTGTGCCTGTTGCCCTATTTGGTTTTGTTTACCGTCCTTGTCTGTGGACTAGGTGTGTAAACCATTGGTCATGAGCTCTGTTTATGGTTATAATAATGAGCTGAGCTTCGAAGTCACAGGTGTGTGTTTTCCATGTGAAGACACTAAACCATGTTTGATGGTCATGAAGACCCTCGCCCTTAAACTGATTCAATTACCATAAAGACCTCTGCATCCTTCATATTCAATAACCATAAAAATGTCGGTATTGTCAACAAGATTTTTTCATCGTCATCATCTCAGCTCATTTTATGCATTTTCATACATTATTCATGCTGCTCATGATGCATTTTATTGGTAAGGGCTTACCAAGCAAAGCATTTCATCAGGACATGGTCACGTTTTCTTCTTTAAATAGAAGAGGATTTTTTTTTAATGACAGAGTATTGCTCTTCAGTGGGACAAACTGTATTTATTTGTCTTCCTTTAGACTCTTTTTGAAATTTGTAATATATGCCAAGAATTCCATGCACTGTTTGTTTTGCTCACATATCTGAGTGGGAGGTGTTTGACAGTTTTGAGAGACAGGAATGTATTGTGAAGTTCTGTTGTCATGAGGGGCAATCTATGAGTATGAGGATTTCACTGTGTGCTGTCACGTCTGCTACCATTCTTTTTGTGTTTTGCTTTTGGCTCCTTCCTCTTTGAAAGCTTGATATGAGTGACTGAAAAATGAGACTGTGTTTGCTTTTGGCTCCTTACTCTTTGAAAGCTTGATATGGGTGACTGAGAGATGAGACTTTTGCTTCTTGTTCACTGTTTAAACTCCTTATCTCTGGCAAGCCGCTGCCATCGGCTTGCGGTCAGAGCCGCTGTACCGGTGATCCGCTGGCAGCAGCTTGGTCACATTCCTTTAAATCATTGATGTTAAATAAATTTTTGGCAACTGCCGGAGACAGGTTTCCTTGACCAGGAGTTATTTCAATTGATAAAGAACTACCAAGACAGGTTATTTTTTTCGATTTAATGACCAATTTAGTGACATGTATGTCTCTATTTGGTTTCATACCAAAAGAGGTCTCCGGCATAGTGGGGAAACCCCCTCCAGAGATAAAGAGTTGAAGTGAAGGCAAGTCATAGACGGAGGATGTGTCCTTTTTGGAATGGAACATCCAAGTGCTTTTATCTTATCAGGTCTAAAAGTTATTACATCTGCTCTATTGTGTTTTACTATTGTTATTGCTGTCTTCTATCTGACCATTTTTGGTGTGAAAATTACTCTTCTGAACTCTGTATGCCTTTGGAATATTTTGCTTTTAGTGAATTCAGCTTTCTAAAATCCAAGCCCTTTTTTTTGTGCTTTTCTTATTTTACTTTTCCTATCATAGTAGCAGTAGCGATCTACATTATTTTCATTTCGTTTTTAGCGAACCCATTCTCAAAGCTTTTTTATATATATATATTGCTTTTTTTCCTCAATAGATACACATGCAAGTGCCTCTTAATATGTGCCATTCTGTTAGCAGACTCACTGCTCTCTATAGATGTGGATTTGGTCCTGCTTTTTCTGTTGCCATGAACTGGTTGACCTGCACTGATCAAGTTCACTAACTCTTGATATGCTGTTCGATATGACCGCTAAATGCTATTGAGATTACGTTCCTAGTGAATATCATTGTGTATATATGTCATGACTGTGTGAAGAGAAAGGATGGGGGGGGGGGGGGGGGTGTGCTCTTGTTAAAGGCTATTTTCAGAATAGGTAGATTCTTTGAGGGGGGCTCTCGTGGCCTAGAGGTTAAGGTGTTCCCCTCTCATTGAAAGGTCCCGGGTTCGAATCCGGGTAGCGACGAAAAAATTTTCTTCTATAAAATTTGTTTCTCCTTTCACCTCCTTTCCTGCTCTCTAGCAATTTAATGCTGTCATCTGCTTTTTTCTCCACTTTCTGCCCCCACCCCCTCATCTCCTTTGCCCCCTCCTCTAGGCTCCTGACTATTTCTACAGCCTTTCCACTGCTTCTCCTTGGCTCCTTCTTACTGCTGTCTTTCAGCCACACCCCCTGATCTTCTGGTAGGAAAGATCTACACCTAGCCTTCTCGGACAAGGGTGAAAAATGTCGGAGGTCCCGTGTGCAAGTTGCGCACATTAAAGATCCCTTGAACGTCCAAAATCGATAAGACTAGGCTTTGGCTGCCTGCCGAACAAAATTCAAAATTTTCTACCAACTGAAAATGTTAGGTGTATCCCGCACGCTCATATGACCTTATGCAATTGTGAGTGCCGTAAAACACGTACCAAAAAAAAAAAAATTTTGAGAGAAAACTTTAACGTTTAAGGCTGTGATGAGAATGAAACAAAGGGAGGTCCACGAAGGCTGTCCTGCATGATTCTAAAGGGATCGAACCTTGGAGCTGATGAGGATGAAGCACATGTCTTTTATCACTTCCAAGATGACCTCTGTTTTAATCAAATGGACTTCTGCATATGCAAATAGCAAGAGTGGTAATATTGGTTATGAATTTGGTTGCAATATGGAGGCTGAAAAATGTTATAACAAATAGTGTTGTAGACTGGTTGTGTATTACTGTGCAAGGTAGGCCTACATTTTTTAAAAACTGTTTGCAGACTTAATTTTAACCTTTACACAGTAGGAGCAGCTTAGTACAGCCTTTGGTGTCTTTGTGTTTTTGACTGGTAACATAAAGTGTGTGTGTGCTTACCACCTATCAATAAGGAGGAGCAATATTCATTTGAATTTTTTTTCCTTTTTTAAAATTTCCAACCCGTATTACTTGGAAGTGAAAAGTAGATTCTTCTGTTACCCAAGAGTTATATATATAAATATGCTCTGTTCTTCTCAATGCTTTAGAATAAAGGATTTTGTCTCTTCACTTTTTTTCTGTATCTGTTGTCCACCTTTTTTGTAGCAGTAAATGACATGGGTTTTTTTTTTTGTCAATGTACAAGTACTACTGTGTCTCAGTTCAGGAAGAGAACAGGTTTTCTCAACTGGAAAACTGCTGAGCTTTGGAAAGGGATTTTTAAAAATCGTACTTGCACGCTGCAGTAATTTAGAACATATACATTTGTTGAAACTAATCTGTACCTGTTTCAACCCACATTGTGTAGTTGAGAGGTGGAACCTATGTTATATTCTATAGAATGAACGTAGGGAGACCCCTGAATTCGTCCTGTGACTGATTAATTGATCTGATTAAACTTCACTTGTTAGCCTAAGTTACAAGTGTAAAATGTGTTATTGTATTTTTATTGTATTTACTTACTTCTGCTGCTGTTTGGGGGTCAGTAATTTTTCACAATATAATCATGTTCTTCTCCACTGGTGGGTTTTTTTCTTCCCCTACACCTGTAGCTCCCCCAATCTACACCTCTCCTTCCCTACCAACTTACGCATACCCATACTACATACACACACTTGCATTCTTGAAAGTGGTACGTCGTAGTCATAACAATAAGAGTAAGCAATTAGATGAAAATGTAGAAGTGTATATGGAAGTTGGAGGTCTAAACTTCTTTACCCGCATGAGTATTTCATTGTGGTCTTGTTTGTGTCGATAGGCAGCGATCTTTAAAGGGGCTAACACCATGTTTAAGAAGATGTTATAATAACAGTTTGTCCATCATATAAAACTGATGATGGCTTCCAAGGAGGAAGGAAAGTTGTAGATCTTATTAACTCACTGGCTACCGGCCTTGGCACGAACGTATTTGGAATTTTTTTTCCGCTAAAGGGTAGCCACTGTGGTGCGAACGGCTCGCGGTATTAAATCATGAGTCATTTCCCTTTAATTTGAGACCGCTTCTTGCTCTCTAGCGCGAAAGGTATTGTTTTAGTGAATTGTTTCCTAAAGTCACTCTTCAGTCAGCAAAAAGGTATTTTTTTTGTGAATTGTTTCCTAAAGTCACTCTTCAGTCAGCAAAAAGGTATTTTTTTAGTGAATTGTTTCCTAAAGTCACTCTTCAGTCAGCAAAAAGGTATTTTTTTAGTGAATTGTTTCCTAAAGTCACTCTTCAGTCAGCAAAATGGCGTCCTCTCGACCAAAACGTCAACAGTCTGCTAGAGCGAATATCTTTGAAATAAGATAACACAAATCTGTTTTGTTTTACATATAGTTTATTATGTTTTTTCTTATCAGTGAAAATTTGAAGCTTCTTCTATGTTTAATAGGTTGGTCTCAGTGATTTTTTGAAAATACCCCCAAAAATGTTGGTAGTCAGTGAGTTAATATTAGCTACAGTTAATATTAGCTACAGCAGGTAGCTAGTATGGTGAAGAGAGAAAAGTAAGGGAAATAATAGCATGCAAGTCGTAATGATCACACAGTGCTTGTCCCTTTCCCAAAGTGGTACACCTATTTGTCTAAACATGAGGTTATTTGGTTAAAAAATAAGATGTTAAACCACACACCAATAAAAAAAATCATGTGTGTTTTCAGGGCTCTTCATGATGGACCTGTAGTGTTCTGAATGCTTGTGCATGGTGTAGCATAATACTTATTTATATGTTCTGTCAAGGAAGTGCAGCAGCCCTGTTGGAACATGATTTCATTGTGTCTCATGGGTCTTTTTATTTTATGTGCCGGGTAATATCTTTATATAGTATAAGAGATATGGGTATAAATTACTTCATTCAAGACAAAAGATTATTTAAACTTCCTCACTTGTTTCACTACATCTTCACAACACAATTGCATTACTCTTTTCTTTTGTCAATAGATCAATGTTCTTTTATTTGACATGAATTGGCAATCAGATCTTCTAGCTTGGATAGATGTAAAATAAAATAAAGTTGTATAAAATGAAGCAAGACACAGAAAATGCTATCAGTATATACTTTACAAAAATTAAGCCTTTTCTTTTCAGTTTTGATAATCAAACATGATTATATATTACATTGAAATATTTATGACATATATCACAGATTAGCTCAAGTTGTGTTCATCCTTATTCTGTGGCTCAAGCCTCCCAGAATTCTCATTTGACATCTCGACCTTCCATCTCAAAGATTTCTATATATGAAAGTTACTTGTGATCAGTGTACAGTCAAACCTTGTTATATCACCCTCTATTACTATTATACCGCCAGCCTTTGCCTGCCAATGTACGGAAAGGAATGCTCATATAATTGGCTTGAATAAACTTCAAAGGAACTGTGCAACTTCAGACTGCAGCAAAATGTCTGGCATTGCCAGATATCAGCCTGATGACAAAAGGCTAGTTAGTGCCCATGAGGCTTTTACTTTGTGAGGACTCACGCTCAGGTTTACATGACCAGTCAGAGGTGACTGGAGGACTGATGAGTATTGGATAGAGAGAAAAAAAAATTTGTCAGGGTCCTTGACACTAATATAGCCTAGCTTCATGTCCGGCAAAAATTTTCTATTTGATTTTACATAAAGTTTAGTTGGAGCCATACATGTAATTGGTTGCAAAGTGCTTTTTCCCCTGCGTGTGGCAATTGCACAAGACAGATCAGAATGAGGCAAGACTGGCCACCGTTTGTCTCCAATCTCTAGTTTTTACGTGTACCACTCTACCAGTAGTCAAGATGGCTATCGGTGCTATTCCATTATGTACCGCCAACTTCATGCTCGTCTCAAGGTAGGCAGTATATAACAGGGTTTGACTGTACTTGTGTTTTCATTCCAGGGATATGAATGAAGTACAGCATAAGTGTTAGATGTTAATCGGTCAATGCACCCTCGCTCAGGCTCTAAAAATCCAAAGGAAGAACTTTGTTCTGTTTAGGCGAGTTGTTTTCCTGAAACTAAGGTCAGTAAATTGTGAGTGAGTTATTCCAGCTCCCCCCCCCCCCCCCCCCCCAACAAAACTTGTGGATAATACAGTGCAAAATGATGTTGGAAGGTTACTTCTCATCATTACAAACTGGGATGTGAAAGTGAACATAAACAACCATATTTTGCGGAAATTTGTGAATATTTGGCTTAATTGTAATGTGTGAAGTGTTGTGGCATAATTTTCATGGATATGCAGTGAAAGTTTTTATTTGCTTATTTATCAAAAGCATTCTGTTTGCCATTGTGTCATAGAAATAAATAAATGATGCTTGTTTTGAATGAATAAAGATGTGTTTTCTTTATTGTGTTTAAACACATTACACCCTAACGGTCTGGATGGAAAGTCCATTCCTAGATCCTAAGCAAGGGCAAGGAACCACCTCCCGTGAATACAAGTGGTTAAAAAACACATTTTAAAAATACTAAACAAATTCTGAAATTCCTGAAAAAATAAAAGTTAGAAAGAAAAATGAATAGAGTTTCAGAAAAATGTAACTTAATATATGTGCAAACTGTTGGAAATGTTCTAACTTTAGTTAGATCGGGGTGTCCGACCCGTCACTCTCAGCCTCGCGGTCGGGCCCTAGATCTAAATTCTACTTCTGATAAATCTGAATCGCCCCAAACTCTTGCTACAACGTTTTCATCGTTATCTGATTCATCAGATTTTTCATATGCTAGTTTTAGCTCAAACCCATCGTTATTTCCTTTTTCAAACTCAAGTTGTGTTGGTTTTCAACAAGTCGAGACACCTTCGGAGTGTCGGAAACACGACTGTACTTCGATCGGCTCTAACACTAAAACTAACGGCCCCTGAGTCAAGGCAAGACTTCGTTACTAAAGATACTAGGTTGCGGGCAGGTTAGGATGGAGCGTGTAAGGAAATTCTGGGGCGAGTTAGGGTGTAATGTGTTGTGTTTGACTGCAGAGGTGAGTCTATGTATTCTACTGAAAAATAAAAGCAAAGTGACGGATGTATTTAATTTACACAGATTCGGGGCTCCCATCTCATTTCCATCTCATAATTTAACTGTACGAGTCTAAACAGTAAACTGGTGTAAAGAAAGGTATATTATATTTTCATGAAATGCATTTTGTAAAAAATTGACTGGAAATTTTCATTAACTATTAACAGCAACATGTTGATTTGAAGTTAAATACAGAACATGTGTAAAAACATGTCATGACATGGTGGAATCAGATGTTCATCAATTTTTGGACATATGAAGCTATCAAAGAAGCTTGTTAGTTTTTCTTGAACTTGGTGAAAAAAATTACAGTCTATCTTTCACATGTCCATTCATCCAAAAATGTGTTCCTTATTGGATGGAGAAGGTTTCTGTGCAAATAAAAAATTGCTGAGAATCACCCATCAACCAGAAAAATTCTGCTTTCTCCGTTCCCTGAAAAATTGACGAGTTCCTGATTCCACCGCAATGGCCCAAACATAGTAGTAATGATAATAATAATAACAATAATAATTAGTACATTTCAACAGTGCCCAGTCCCTAATTAGGCTTCAGGCATTTACAAAAACAAAGAAATCAGTCATTCAAGCAAGATTCGAGTTCATGAAATCATTGATATAATTCATTTGTGAGTGTGCCTAAAGAAAGGTACCGACCCGTACCAAAACAAGTCACATTTTGACCATTTTGAGTTAAGGGTTGTACCTTATAGGAAATTCAATGTTGAACGCAGGGGTGTTTGAATTTTTTAGATATCTCAAGTAGTTTTTGAGATATTGCACATTTTGTGAGATAGGCTATAAAAATATAATTTTGAGAAAATGAGCTTTTAACTTATTTTAAGTTTAACAAACGTGAGAAAACATACAAACTTTTTTTTTTTTTTTTTATTGTTTATGCATTTATTCATGGAAAATTCATTTCCAATTTGGCATTCAGTTGACATCAATATCATAAATGTAATTCAATGAAAAAACATAGCATGGAGGAAGAGAAAACATTCTTCAAGAATAGATTTTAAAACTTTTTGAAAAGCAGTTTTCATTATTTGTTTTTATAATACCTTTATCTAGGCGCACACACATTTATACACAAGTGTGAGACTCTGCCACATGCCATTTACAAAAATGACGTATGACAGAGTCTTCCACAGAGCAGTCAATGTGAGAACACACATATGTGTCACAACACTATGAAATCAGGCGCTCGTCAATTTTTGGGCATGTGAAGTTATTGGTATCATTTGAAAACTGATTTATTTGCCTTGCTTCCAATGAAATAGATATTCATCTATCTTGAATAGAACTCAAGATATTTGTGATTGAAGGAAGTGAGGTCAATTAGTTTCAGTGGAGAAATTTGCGAGAAAATGGCCACCAAAGTTAGGTAACTGCTAGCTAAAGAGTCTATGAAAACTGAAAAATGACATTTTGTGCCTTTAAATCAATATTTTTTGGTAAAATTCACATGGAAATGTATTTCTATACGGGCATAAAGAGGTTGAGCCAACAAATAAAGATTTGATAAAAATTTCCAAATGGCGGAAACAAATGCCTGTTTCTCTGTATTTTGACGGGCGCCTGATTTCACCACGCTGCCTCACATACTATAGTGACACAATTTCATACACATGCATAGACAAGCACATGGATGCGCACACAATTGCTTTAGTTCCTTATACATCAAAATTAACAGATTCTCAAGAGCGCCACCTCTCTTTAAAATGGCATGACAGTGGTGGAGCTGTATTTCTGAAAAAGACAAGCTTTGAAATTTCTTTTACTTAAAAGCTTCTAAATTAATGACAGATCTTACATCATTAGGCAATGGGCTCTTTTCAGGCAGACCAGACAATGTGAAAGCTTGTTCGCCTTATTTTTATTTTTTTTTCAGATGAATTTGTGGTATTGAAAGCAAGTTTGAATTTGATAACCTAAGACTTCTTGATGAATGATAAGGGACAAGAAGGTCAGGGTCAGTGGTATTCGATGGAAATTTGGTTCTAAGAGCTTTGAAACACATTTATGCCCGATTTATAGCTAATCCTTGCTTTCACATGCAACCAGTTTAGCCTTTTTTTTAGTAACAGAGTGATATGCTCAAGTTTTGATTTCCTTACTTTTTGATATAGCTGTGTTGTTCTGAATGCATTGCCGTTTCAGGATTTTCACCCGCTGGGCCAGCTTTCAGCAATGAATTACAATAATCTAGTCGAGATACAATAAACACATTTGCTAGTATTTTTGTTGTATTGTATTGTCAAGATGGTGCTTCAACTGACAGGGTTTTTTTTAGCTCTAAGTCTAAGTATGAAATTTTGCTAGGATTGTATTGTATGTTTTAGTGGGATGGGGAGTGAGAATCAACATTTTCTGACTTCTCCAAATTCAAAAGATCCTGTGCATTCATTCTGCGTTATACTTTGATAATAATTTCAATTGCCTACTTTCCCACTATTAATGCCATAGAGTGGGAAATTTTTCAAGAGTTCTGCTTATCCCAAATTTTAGTTTTGTCGTCAGCTCGGATATCCAGCTCCAACAATAAGTCGTGCCAATAGAACTCCAACAAAGCTTTGAATACATGCAATAAAAATTGTGTAGTCTTTTGTGCTAGAAATGAAATCTGCAATCAGATCAACTCAACAAGCGGTCTTTTCGGAGATGGACATTAAACTCGGATGTCCCGACTCTTAAATAACCTAATAGTGTTGATAGGGGTATTAAACCAATACCATTTCACCATTTTTCACCAACTCAACAAGTTTCATTATTGGCCCTCTAATTTCTAAAAGTGATAAGTGCACATCGTGGGAATCACAGGCACAAGGAGCCAGCGTAGTTACCACAGTTTCAAAAGTTGTTTTTTTTTGTTAGGCCCCGGATCCATTAAAAAAAAGCCCAGCTCCCCTGTGGCGTATATCTCAACTTCTGTTCATCTTTGACTCATGCCAGTTTGTGTTATGGAACTTGGGGGGAAAAAGAGCCAATTATTATTCTTCATTCTCATCTTTGTACCATTACATGTTTAAGGCTAACTATGGGAACGAATGTAGCGATCAAATCCTTAGATTCCAAGCTGTCTCATTTTTTAAATAAAATACAAGAAAAGTTTTATAGCTGTTAATCTAACTGGCATCTGCGATGTAATGGCTTGGCTCTTAGCCTTGAACGCAGAAGGTGTGAGCTAGATTCCTAACTGGAGAACCAATTTTGATATTTGTTTTGTACTGTGTGCTGGGTTACTCTGATAGGCAGGGTTGAAATAACCCATCTCCTTCATGATCTTAATTGTTTATGGGACCTTAAACTTTTGCAATCAATCAACATCTTATTTGCATTGGCAAGAAAAGTTTAGTCCCCAAAAGCGTAAAATCTCATTAAAACATAAAATCTCATTAAAACACAAGGTAGCCGGTTAAATGGATAAAAGCATATAAGCTGTCCCTATGTTGACACAGAAGACTGAGCTTTATTGTCAAAGCTGTGCCCAGAATCTGTCATAGTAGTAGTAGTATCCTTCTCCACATCAGTATAATGAGAGGAATTTGCTTGGTACACAGGATGTCCCCGAATGCCTTTGTAGTACTGGTATGTGAGAGGGTAGCTTGGTCCTGGTGCAACAATCCCATCGTCATCGTCCATTTTTCCGTGAAGGAACTTTTTCCACCTGTTTCTATCATATATTCTGTATGCTACAAAGGCTACAACACAACCGATGACAACAAGGACAGTAAGTGTGATTAGTACAATCATCACTACATCTGGACCATCACTTGATGCTTTTGCTGAGGAAAGATAGAAACCAACAAAAAAAATTATGATCAAAGTTATGTCATTTTGAGACAGTGCCCATGAATACCTGTGATTCCTATTGTTTTAGTTGAAAAATTGATTGCTGTTGTTTAAGTTGAAAAAAACTCCTACCCAGACTTGTTAGGAGCGTTGACTAAGATTCTAAGTAAAAATATTCCTCAATAAAAATGCAAACTGCACTTGAATTTGAACCCCAAATGTGTGCAGGTTTGCCACATTCACCGCTCGGTACACTACTGGTGGTATTGCATGGCTATGGTTATATGAAATCAGCAATAAATCAGAAAATCAAACCATAAAAGTATCCTCAATTTTGTAAACTTCAAGTATAAAAAGAGAGACCATACACCCATCAGGCCATTAATACAGTTTTTCAAGTCCATGTTAGTCTGAAACGAACCCCACAACTTGTCTCAAGGAAAACTCAGTAATCTGATTGTTAGCACCTCTGTTTACATGTGTAGCACATCCCTGAGCTGTACACGGCATCCAAAAATCCATCTCAGCGATCTTTTAGTTAGTCCGGTCCCCCCGCGGTAGGCCATAAATCAGCGGCAGGTGACCTGCAATTTCACGCATCAGGTCGGAGATTGACCGGGGTCAACTCGTGCACTGCACTGTCCTATCTTGTCCTTATCAAAACGCGTTTCTTCCCCTAATTTCTTGAGCTGTAAAATGATGCTCACTCTACCCCTAGAATCTATTTCTTTACCAATTTCGCTTCGTCTACGTCTTCTTGGTATCTTGTGAAAGTTTCAACAGTTTTCATTGATTCGTTTGGGAATAATAACAGTTTTAAATTGTGAGTGTTAAGAGATCGGAAGCGCCGTTAATAATGTGATCTCCTCAAATTTAATTACAAATCATTCCAAAATGAAACATTGGTGTTTATTTCTGTTTGCGCAGTGTGATAGCCATCAAATCATATTTTTTAATGATGTGAATTTTGTTTTTCCAGCACTTTGCAGTGACTGGCAATCAGTTAGTGAATTGTGTTCCTATGTAAAAATTGTTAAACTGCAATGGGTCAGTCACACATATGAGAGGCATAGAGAGTCTGTGAATGAACTTTGTCGGGTGTGTTGGCGTTTAAATTTAACTGTCAAACAAAAAAAGTACAGAAAGCCCCGATTATGTAAGACAATGTCAGGAGATATTCTCTTGATTTACGGGATTGATGTGAGGGACGAAGATGAACAGTCGTATTCCGCGAACATTTGTATCAATTGTTTTACCGCGATTTCAACTATCAAAAGGAGATATGGTGTTATGTCACGCCAATTCATGCCGCAAAAAAAACTATTGACGCTAGTAGGAACATGTGGTGTGCATTTGACAATAACATAGATGAGAATTCCTGCTCCGTTTGTCGGCATCACTTGGGTGGCTGCATACAAAGACCCATTTCAAGCAAACCTCGCAACACACCCCAAGCATACCTCCATCCCCATGTATACAAGGAACTAACAAACACAATATGCGCAGAAACAAGAAAATACTTCCGCGAAACTGCAAAAATTGAGGAAGCAAGTGGACTGGAAGCAATATTCAATCTTCTCAAAGAAAGATTTAGCCATGTTCACACTGCAATATCACATCTCAAACCAGTCAAACAATTTTCACTTCCTGAAATCCTCGTAGCAATCGACAATTATATAGCCGCATTCAGACGCTATTTCCCCGCAAAGTTATCCCAAAGCAACACATATCATAGCAACACTGTATTCCACACATACAACAACACATGTTTGCTCTCAGACTTTGGGAGAACAAGACACAGAAAACAGCCACCAAGCGATCTCAAAACTGGAAGACAGAGCACAAAGGATCCCAAACCAGATAGACATAATGCGTTTTATTGTTGTGTCGCATCTCCTGCAAATAACACCCTCATTGCGTGCTGCTGGATATGTTTAGAAAGAAAAATTGTATTCATACTTTTATTCTGTACATGTTCATTTTGTGAAAAGAAATCAGTGCTGTATATTGAAGATACGTCAGTATATCATTATTCAGGAGGATACACATTCCATTGGATTCAAAAAGTCATGAATGCAGGGAAGCGTTTTGGTTATCATGCTCATGACAAGTTCCATGTTTGTGCTGGAAACAAAATGTTGAGTGAGTCAATTTCTAAACTCATTTTCCTGTCTTAAGTGGCAGTATTGTAAATATTTAACGTTAAGCTTATAAGTTATTAGCCACGCAAAATGTGTTTGTTGTTTTGACTAACTATAAATAGACATACATTTTAAGAGCATCTAACTTCAAAACGTGAGCAGCCATGGTATTGCTTTTTCGTACCAATAAAGAAGTTTAGTTGCTTTCTCTAAAGAACAAACTTGTGTTCACGTATGATATTTTTTGTTTGTGTAAGACAATAAAACATGTGCTGAAAAATTCATTTCACGGCGACTGACGCAGGTAGCAGGAGGTCGGGTTAGTGACCTCTGGTTGACCGGCCCACCATGACCCGGTCACTCCATCGCCAAGCCAACTAAAAGAGCTGTGTTCGTACGACGTGTGTAACGAAGGATCTTTATATTCAAACAAAGAATAAAACCCACATATGTTAAATAAGAACATTGAGAAGATGTGACAATCAACGAGAAGCTAAACCTAATTTTTGTTTCCTGAAAAATTCCTTTTGATTGATTACAGAATTCTCTAACTGGAGGTCCTAAAAATGTTCCTACAATGTAATCATGAACACGTTTGAAGAATATCTTAATCTCATAATTTGTACTTCCAGTTTTTTCAATGAGATTAAAAAAATTTTTTGAGAGAGAGTGAATCTTGTTCTTCTCATTCATCTCTAAATGAACGTCCCGGTCTCTAGTGTGAAGACTACTGTTCTCCGCAGGTCCTTCTGGCTTCCATAGAGCTTTGAGCTTCTTTGTCCAGGGTTGGGCCAATATTTTCTTTGAAGTATGGTACCTCGAGCATTGGGCAGGCTTGTAGTAAGCTTCCAGTTTAGCTACCGGTTCTATACTAACACTGCTCAGGGTTGCCAATCCTGAACTTCATGTTGAGGTGGCGTTTCAGTCAGAGGGGAAATTTAAACCTATTTCAAGGACACATCTATTGGTTTGAAAGAAATTCATTACACTCAAATGATCAGACATCTATTTTGTCTAAAATATCAATCACCAAGCAGTTGTTATATTTTGCTCATGTCTTATTGTACCTGCACAATCCTGTTCATCTGTAGAGTCTCCACACTGGTCAAAGCCATCACACTCCAGAGATGAAGGGATGCACACAGAGGTGTTGCAGTTAAGCTGTGAGCTGGAGCATGGTTCTGCAATATAGAGTTTTGTAAATGTAAATTTTATTTACCCTTCACGCATTTGAAGTAGTTTGTTAAATAATAATAACTATAATAATAATAAATTAATTTATAACGTGCCAGAATTCACAAAAACTGCTCAGTGGCACTTTCAAAACACACACACACACACACACACACACACACACACACACACACACACACACACACACACACACACACACACACACACAGACCCAACCAAAAAAAAAAACCTGACAGATATTTCAGATATAGAGTTCCAGCATTATAAATATACTTTCCTGAAAAACATTGTCTTCAACTTTGATTTAAATTGATCAATTGAAAGCGACATTTTAACATCTAAATCCAAATTGTCCCAAAGTTTTGTGGCACAGAGGGAAAAGGCCCTTTCACCCAATATTGTTCTGGACCTAGGCATGCAGAGCTGATGGTCATTTGAAGATCTTAAAAAACTACTTTAAAAAGTTGTCAGACTCTGCCACATTAGAGCGAAACAAGTGTGTGCTTGAGTGTAGTACAATTAAAAACCTTCTTAGTTATCACAAATATATTTTGATCCCTAAAAATAATAAACAACCCACAGCTGATGCTTCATTTTTTTTAGTTTATTATAATTTATAGTCTTTCCATTTTAGAACAGATTTTCATCTATAGGCCTACTATATTTAAAAAATCTTTGAAGCTTTATCTCGGCTGATTTACGTTGCTGAGTGAAAAGTGAGCAGTGTTCAAAACTCTCCAAGTTCTGGTTCTATCATGGTTCTATAGGAGATGGATGTCAACTTCTGGAGGTCTTCATCTTTGCGTTCCCCTGATAGGTCTTAATGGTATTCACACTGATTTTAACGTACGCTATCATCTTTCCTACTAAGTATATGGCCCCTTGCCTTCAGGCAGCCACACTTGATTTCGAAGGTAGGTATTCTATATATGTTTTTATACTGAATAGAGTAATTTCAAGTTTTAGTAGAAATTAATTTTAAATTTTGCACGGGTAGCGGCCAAAGACTGCTCTTATCGAATTTAGGACCTTCAACGGATCTTTAACATGTGCAACTTGCACATAGGACCTTTAAGATTTTTCGCCCTTTTATCTAAGAAGGCTAGATGTTAGATCTCACCTACCCTTAGATCAGGGATGTGACTGACAGACAGCAGGTAGAAGGAGCCAGGAGTAGCAGTAAAAAGAGTCCAGAGAATGGGTGGGGGGGGGGGGGGGGCAGTAAGTCACGTACTGTAAGTGGAGATGAAAGCAGATGACAAAATGCCTAAAGAACAGGAAAGGAGGTAAAAGGAGTAAATTTTAGAGCAAAAATCTTTTGCCTCTGTCAGTTTTTGAAACCAAGACCCTATCAAATGAGAGGCGAAAATCACACCTATAGACCACAATGATCTTACAATGGGAAGAGAGGAACACGCAGCAAACAAATCATATCGACCATGCTTTTAAAAATAAATCGATTAGACACTCTGTCAATACAAGTTTGCTCTTTATAAAAGAGTGATCGAGACTTGAGTCATTACCAACATAATATTGTATTAATTCGGCAGTTAATAAGCACCATAGTGAAATATTTTTTTAATGGCTTGCTTACCACTTGTTGCAGCAACAAAAACCATGTTAAATCCTGTGTAAACTCCAGAACTATCTGAGAGAAGATGTAAAGTCATTGAATCGCCACTGGAGGTGAAGTTGGAAGGAATGCTGGTTCCAGATCCACAAACAGGACTTGAGTTCAACTTTGTGGCTGAAGTGCTGGTTCCATCATGAACATCAAGATAGTCTGTGCAAGACCCTTCAAATATATATATGGATATAAGAGTTTATATAAGGCCTATCAGAAAACATGAAGATGTTAGAATGAATAAGTCATGATTATTCAGGGTTTTTTCATGGAGGAGGAAATAGGTTTTTTTTGTTGTTGTTTTGTTGTTGTTGTTTTTTTTCTTGTGGGGGGGGGGGGGGGGGGGGTTACAGCCTATTCAGTGTACTATTTTTAGCTTCATAACCTGAAGTGAAGAGTTCCCAGCTAACAACTGAACCTTGAAATAAGGCATAGCTCACATTCATTTAATGAGCAATACCAGGTCTAACCCAGAAGTTAATTAAGTTTCCCAATTAAAGACGGATCAAAGTGAACATGGTCACTGAGTTTGACTGCTGGATACATTGGATGAAAAAGTGCATTGAGATCAACGGTTGCTGTTTTGAATTTAAAAAACATGTTTCTGTAGATATATACATACAGTCGAACCTGCGCAGACGGCCACCTGTACAAACGGCCACTTTCCATTTCCCCCTTGCGTTTTTTTCTATATAATTTAACTGTGTAAAACAGCCGCTGCCACCATATTTTAACACATAACCCCTATCACATCAAGAAATAACACCTGTCTTAGACGGCCACCTTAATGATCCATTATGTTTTGTCATAAAATTGTGCATTGGCCCCTGGCGTTGTGGACGAGCCGTCAAAATTCAATCACCTGTCGTTGTTGTCAGGTAGTCCCTCCAACCGATCATGTAAAGGCCCCTCCCACAGTTGACCAATAGGAAACAAATTCTCAGCTGCTGGTGAGGTAAGCGTGTGATCACTCATAACCCAAAAGCCCCGCCCAGAACTCAAACACAAATCGTAAGTGAGATGAGTGGTCACTGTTTACCCAGTCTGTAACAAAGTAACAATGGACGTCAGCATGAACTTGAGACAGAAGCGTCGCTCGTTCTCCAAGTGGTGGCGACCCATGTGTTTGTTTTACCATAGCACTCGGCCCTCCTTGTCTGACACATTTCTTTTTATTGTCACCCTTGCACAAAAGCAGCGATAAAAGGAAAAAGAAGAAGAAGAAAAAACTCAGGGAAAACAACAACAATATGCGGCTATTTTCGGTTGGGACCTCAGAAAGGAGGGGTTTGTTTTCTTCATCTTGATCAGTCCTGCCTAAGACGGCCACCTGTCTTATACGGCCACTTTTCTCCTTGACAATGGGTAATAGATAAAATCCCATGACTGTAGAGTAAAAAAATTTTATTTTACGTAACAGGGATAAACTTACTTCTGTACTTAATTTAAAAGATTTGTTCTGTAAATAGTTTAGTATTACAATGCTGCCAACCTGTCAGAGCTGCCTCCAGCTCAAAGCGAGTGATCTGAGCAACGACAAAATGGCCTGAAGGTCCAGTTACAGTCAGTTCACAATCCAGCAAGTTTTTGTAGGTAATTCCTGTGCTAGAATCCATCTGGAAACTTTCGGTAAAGGTGATAGTCGTGCCACATGCTGACTCCATGTACACTGAGGAAAGTGAAAAACAGAATAATTGTATATATTATACCATATAATGCAAATTCTGGTTTTCAGGAATCTGAACCTGCTTCTCTCCGTAGGTAAGAGAGCATTTTTTTTTTCTTTTTTTTTTTTTTGGACTCTGCCCAATTCTATTATCTGGCGCTTTTGTGTTCAGCAAAAACAACAAAGCGTGCAGCATTTTGGATTTTGAAATTAGATCTAGTGCTGTTCTTAGAGTAAACGCAAGAGAATGTTTTATATATAAATAAATAAATGAATAAATAAATAAATAAACAAGTATACTTCACTCTTATAACGTTATTGATAAGTTACACATTCAAGTGTAGCCATAGTAAGAGAATAATTATATTTTTGTTCAAAGTCCAACACTTTTCAGGACATGCCGTTAAACGTAGAAAAGACGCATCTTATCTGATTGGCTGCTAATTTTAGTACTGTGATGTCATCACTTCCTGGGATACTCACATGGAACGACGTGGGACATGATGGAAGACCGCACGAAAATTGCCGTAAAGTCGGAGGAGGATTAGATCTAGATATCTAAATCTAGATCTAGACATCTACCACCCCCCCCCCCCCCCCCCCCCCCCCCCCTCCTGCATTTTTAATCAAATATATTTTTAAAAACAAAAAAAAAATACTTCAAAGCGACTCTACAAATTAGGCCTATAATTTATGGGACTGTTGGTCAGTCGGGAGGAGGAGAAGAGAAAAAAACAACTGTCCGGGACCGGGATCGAACCGCTCCAAAAATCATTGCACGGCTTCAAGCGCAGACGCGCTGTCTATTCAGCCATCAGAACTTCCGAGAGAGAGGTGTAGATTAAGCATTATATAATATATAGACACTTCCATCTTTGGCTTGGTGCCATACGGTTGGCTATACTTAGATAATGTAGTCACGTGATCGGAGGGGTATCTTGGTCCGACGTCATACAAGATGGGCGCCTTACCTAAAAATAGTTTGTGTCTTTCTACGTTTAATCGCATGTGTTTTCAGGTGACAATACCCATGAATTTTCATAAATTATCTTTCAAATTCAGTGGTGGGGGTGTTTGCATGAGGACTTCTTAAATCAACCACTACTCATAGAAAAATATGTTTTCTTCTGAAAACTTTATGCATATGGCAAGGAAATAAGTTGGTCAAGCTGCATGAGCAAGAAGATTGATGTGTGCATCTTATATCTCTTCGTAGAAAGATAATAGTACTAAAAATAGGGCATTTTTTACTCAACCTGAGTGCACACGTAATTGTATGTTAAATACAGAATATTGTTAATCTTAAACTATCAAACAGTAGTGCATTCAAACATTGAAAATAGTTTGTATACACCATCATAACAGCACGTGTCCATTAAAAGGGTTTTATTTTTTTATATTGATGATGTTATTGCTGAGTAAAATTTATAAGTTCGTTCATAACTCGTGTCATAATTACATCATCAGACTTTCCAAGGTCTAGAAAACCCAAATCGTTAAACATATCATCCCGGGGAATGACCGGTATTAAACATTGGTTTGACATTGATCCATCAGAAGGGTAATTTTCCGCTCCATCGCATGGTTTTGCTTAAATATGACTTTGATTGAGATAATCCAGGTTTGTCATAATGATGTTATGAACAAACACTTTATGATATTTCTGCAAAATATCATTGGAGGGACTTCCCACTGTTTCACAACATCCTTTTACATGGTGGAATGAACATGGAAGAGTAGCATGCTGATGACTCAAAAGAGAAGCGAAGAAAAGGCAAAAATATGCTTGTCATAATGGATTGTCATCATGTTATGAACGTGACAGTGTGTCATAATGGTTATGAACGAAACCTTATTCCTTGTAATTTACAGTTGTTTTGGAATGTATTTTTAATTTTAACCCAACTAAAGGACAGAATAGACCTTGCATACATTTTGATATTTTGATTTTTATCTTAAGTGTATGGGTATGGATTTTAATTAGTATTATACTTTTGTAGTAATGGTTATGAACGAACTACATATTGTACTCTGAGGGCTTTCCAGAGTTGATAAACATTAAAAACATGTACACTGATACATATTATGAGGAAACTTTCATTTAATATAAAATTTTAAAGTAAATGACAGGTCAAAATATTAATTTTTAGGTCAAAACTGAAGTTTGTCATAATAGTTATGAACGAACCATTAAAGGTATTCTAAGGGTTTTTCAGTGATT